CAAGTCTCAAGAACCTGCAGAGTTTTCAGCCATGGTATTTCATGGAAGAGGGGGTCGTGGAAACAGAGGAGGACGTGCAGGAAGAGGACGTCCCCGATGTACCCATTGCAAAAGAATGGGTCACACCCATGAGAACTGCTACTTTCTTCATGGGTTTCCTAATAAAACCGCCAACTTCTCTAAATCTAAAGTTTCTGAAGTTTCTGATCCAAAACTGTCTGGTGAGGAATACCAAGAGTATTTGAGACTAAAGTCCAACAACTCAGCAGAATCTTCCAAAACTCCGCTTACATCAACTCCTTGCGTTTCACAATCAGTAGAAAGTCAAAATCCATGGATAATTGACTCAGGTGCTTCTGACCCCATTTCTGGTAATACTTCTCTGTTCTCTTCTCTCTCACATCTTAAACACCCACATCTTATAACCATGGCAGATGGATCCAAAACAGCTTCCCAAGGAATTGGCCAAGTATCCCTTTCTCCTACCTTGAACTTAAAATATGTTCTTTTTGTCCCCACATGTCCGTTTAACCTCATTTCATTAAGCCAATTAGCAAAGTCATTGAACTGTACTGTAACCTTTGATGCTAATTCATTTGTTATACAGGAATGTGGAACGGGTCAGATGATTGGAGAAGGATATGAATCTAGAGGTCTCTACTATTTTGGAAACAAATCACCCGTCTCTTGTCTAGCTACTCCTTCTCCCAAACTCTTGCATGAACGTTTCGGGCATCCACATTTAGCAAAATTAAAGAAAATGGTTCCTGAACTCAGCGGTCTTCAAACCTTAGAGTCTGAGTCTTGTCAGCTCGGGAAACATGTTAGATCTTCATTTCCCAGCTATTCTGAGTCTAGATGTAATTCTGCATTTTCTATTATCCATTCTGATGTTTGGGGACCAAATCGGGTTTCCTCTTTTGGTTTCAAATATTTTGTCACGTTCATTGATGAATTTTCCAAGTGTACTTGGGTTTATTTAATGAAGGACCGTTCTGAACTTTTGTCTATCTTTTCCTGCTTTCTTAATGAAATTCTTAATCAATTTGGAACAATAATGAAAGTTTTAAGGAGTGACAATGCCAAGGAATATTTCTCCTCTGGTTTTTCCTCCCTCTTAAGCTCACATGGCATTTTACACCAATCCACTTGTCCTCATACACCTCAACAAAATGGTGTAGCGGAAGGAAAAATAGACACTTAATTGAGACTGCCTGTACTTTATTACTTGGTGCCAATGTACCAGTTCATCATTGGGGAGATGCTGTCTTAACTGCCTGCTTTCTTATTAACAGAATGTCATCCTCTTCTCTTAATAATAAAATCCCTCATTCTGTCTTGTTTCCTAATGAACCTCTCTTTCATGTTTCCCCTCGTGTGTTTGGTTGTGTCTGTTTTGTTCATGATATGTCTCCAGGATTAGATAAACTTTCTGCTCGGGCTGTCAAATGTGTTTTCTTAGGTTATTCCCGTCTTCAAAAAGGGTATCGTTGTTACTCTCCTGATAATAAGAGATACTATATGTCTGTCCATGTCACTTTCTTTGAACGAACTCCTTTTTTCTCAGTTAGAGATCAATCTGTCCAGCAAGTTCTCCCTATACCATCTCTTAGCCCTTTGTTCCGTCTATTGTCAATGACTCCATTCCCAATCAGTCTCCTTTAGATCCAGTAGACGACTCAACCAACCAAAATCCTCCTCTTATTACCTACCAACGTAGGACCCGACAAACCAATTCAATTCTTCAAAGTGAGCCCTCTTCAGCAGATCCTTCTCAATCATCACCCTCTTCCACAATTCTTGATAATGATGATTTAGCTTGGCCGGTTGCTCTCAGGAAAGGTACTCGCTCTACCCGTAATCCACATCCTATTTACAATTTCCTTAGCTATCATAGACTTACTCCTTCCTATTGTAACTTTATATCCTCCGTCTCCTCAATCACAATTCCCAAAGATGTGAAAGAAGCACTTGATCATCCTGGATGGCGACGAGCCATGATTGTAGAAATGCAGGCTCTTGAACATAATAAAACATGGGAATTAGTTCCGCTTCCACCCGGAAAGGAAGCAGTTGGATGTCGATGGGTTTATGCCATTAAAGTTGGTCCGAATGGAGAAGTGGATCGTCTCAAAGCCCGGTTAGTTGCCAAGGGATACACCCAGATCTATGACCTTGCTTATAGTGATACATTTTCTCCAGTGGCCAAAATGACTACTATTCGTCTCTTTTTTGCCATGGCTGCCATTTGTCATTGGCCACTTTATCAGCTAGACATAAAAAATGCATTCTTACATGGTGATCTGGATGAGGAGGTCTACATGTAGCAACCTCCTGGGTTTGTTGCTCAGGGGAGTCTGGTTTGGTGTGCAAGTTACGCCGCTCTCTTTATGGTCTAAAGCAATCTCCACGAGCTTGGTTCGGAAAATTTACTTCTGTTGTTCAAGCGTTTGGGCTGAAACGTAGTGAAGCAGATCATTCTGTTTTTTATTGCCACACTTCTCCTGGTAAATGTGTTTACTTGATAGTGTATGTGAATGACATTGTTATTACAGGAAATGATGCTGCAAAAATATCTCGCTTGAATGAACACTTGGGCAGTCATTTCCAGACCAAGGATCTTGGGAGTCTCAAATATTTCTTGGGTATTGAAGTGGCCCAGTCAAAAGAAGGTGTTGTAATCTCTCAAAGGAAATATGCTCTTGATATGCTAAAAGAAACGGGAATTATCGATTGTAAGCTCGTAGATAGTCCTATGGACCCGAACCAAAAGTTATTGTCAGAACACGGAGAGGTGTTTTCTAATCCAGAGAGGTATAGACGGTTGGTTGGGAAGCTCATTTACCTCACTATCACTAGACCGGATCTATCATTTGCAGTGGGTGTTGTTAGTCAGATTATGCAAGCGCCATACACCGAGCATTGGAACGCTTTCATTCGCATCCTAAGATACATAAAAAGGCTCCAGGACAAGGCTTGCTCTATGAAGACAAAGGGAACACTCAAATCCTAGGGTATTGTGATGCTGATTGGGGACCCTGTGGATAGACGATCCACTACAGGATATTGTGTCTTTCTTGGAGGAAATATTATTTCTTGGAAAAGCAAGAAACAAAATGTAGTTGCCATATCCTCCGCTGAAGGGGAATATAGGGCAATGGTGTCTCTCACTTGTGAGCTCATATGGGTAAAACAGTTTCTTCAAGAGTTAAAGTTCTGTAAGGTTCAACAAATGAAGATGTATTGTGATAACCAAGCTGCCCTTCACATCACCTCAAATCCGGTGTTCCACGAGAGAACCAAACACATAGAGATCGATTGCCATTTTGTTCGGGAAAAGCTGATGTCTAAAGAAATCAGCACCGAATTTATTGGGTCCAATAATCAACTTGCAGATGTGTTGACAAAGTCTTTGAGAGGTCCTCGAATTGAATTTATTTGTTCCAAGCTTGGTACATACAATTTGTATGCTCCAATTTGAGGGGGAGTGTTAGATTTACCAAGATTTATTGGTAGCTAAATAGACTCCTTTGTATTTTCTAGAACGGATCTTTCATCTCCTTTGACCTTTCATCTCCTCACTCTCATTAATGTACTTGTACACTCATTATTATAAATAAAGGAGTTCAGGGTTGTGGACAGACACACAACCAGAAAATTATTAATGTCCGTTGAGGTCGCCTCGTATGACAAGCTTCTCTCCCCTTGACACTCGTCCCACCACTTTCTCAAGATCTTCCCATAATTGTTGAGTGATAGATGATGCATCCAATCCCACTTGTGATACATAGACATTTACTACGAACATGATCTCACCTCCTATTACCAATTAATGCTCATGATGCAATCATTCTTCCTAAAGACTCCCACCATAACCTCAACATAATCACGCGCCATAATAATTCCTACTCCATTTATGGTTTTCGTTCTCCTTGAATACCACAACTTAACCTCCAGAATTAATCTCATGTGCCTTTTCTCCAATCAACTTAGGTTTTTGCACACACATAATGCTGATATTCCTCCTCCTCATTACCTTTACAACCTCAGATGATCTTCCCGTAAGAGAGCCAACATCCACGTCCCAAGCTCAATCTAGCAACTTGTTTTCTCTTCTTCACTCCATATCAACCCCCACCATGCCCTTGCATATTTGACACCATCCACACCATTGCGGTGGGGCGTCGCTTCTGGGCGACGGCTTAACAACCTTAGCATTCTTATCACCACACCCATGCCAATGAAGTGTAGTGCGCCCTTGCATATTTGACACCACCCCAGGCAGAGGGATGACGCGTTGCTCACAGGTGACGACCTAGCTGTAGGGATATTCATATTTCGATTCATGTCATGTGATGTGACTAAGTGATACCGTTGGCCGTCATGCGCCTAGCCGCCTACCACAACACCCTCCTCTTTTATCTTGGTTTGGGACATACATGATACAAAAAATGATCTAATGGCGGAGTTAGTAATCCTAATGTTGTAGTAGCAAAAATCATAAACATTCTAAGTTTACAAGAAACTCAATTATCCCATTAGTATGATCCGATCTGCTAAATACTTTTAAACCTAGACTAACTTTGTGATGTTATGTTTCCAATTTTTAAAAACCCACTCATTATTTAGTGGTTGCCGAGTAACCCGCCAAGTCAAAATTGCCATTGAGTTAAGAAACTCGCCGAGTAACTCAGAAAAATAAGCCAAGTCAGATTGCTAGATGACACGGTCACTCCTTGAGTTGCGAGTACTCGGCGAGTAGATAACACAAGCAACAAGTACATGAGACACATGGTTCTAGTCTCTTCAGTTATGGAGTACATGAATCCAATTTGTGTGTTTTCTTTACCAAACTTTCATTTTGGTGTTCAATATCATCATCGCTATCATGGCAATGGACTATGGGGGTCCTTGGGCTTCTATTTATAGTGTAATGAGAAATATGCCATATTCCACTTTATTTGAAGATGATGAGTTAACAGTGTTGTAAACTTGATTAGAGATGGAGAAAGTAGAGCAAGACCAGGAATTCATTGCACTGTCTCGCCAGTTTAAAACTACTGCAATGGAGCTTATTTCTGTCCTTGAGCAGGTGAAGTTGAGGCTCATAATTTCTGTTAAATTTCCTTTTGTTTAAAAATAACTTTATTTTTAAACATAGTTTCTACAGAGCGGATCTCTGGTATGAGTCAAAGAATTGTTAAGAGTAAACTTTGGTTACATAAGCAAGCCAGAATTTGTTATTGTACAAAAGAATAAGCTTTATATAGTTTATACGAGTATTTATCAAATGACTTAACCAAACCCATTTTAACTAGGGATCTGCTTATTTGAAATACAAATAGTTGTCGCATTGGTAACTAGGGAAAGTGCTGATGCATCTGTGCTATTGTGGTCTCTATAGAAACAAAAAACTGGAGGGAGGACCAAAGTTCTTCTGGAGACCGTTCCAGTACACAAGCTGGCAGATATTTTTGTTGCTAGCTTTGAGATTAGTTTTGAAGAACAGTTATCTATGCTGGACTCTATTGATGTCAAAATGAGGCTTTCCAAGGCAACCGAACTAGTCGACAGGCATTTACAAGTATGTAAGAACTGATAAATGCCTTTAGTTGCTCTACACATTCTTTTTGATGATCATGCATTTCTGTCGTGTTATTGCATTGCTTTAATAGTCAATTCGTGTTGCGGAGAAGATCACCCAAAAAGTTGAAGGGCAGTTGTCGAAGTCTCAAAAAGAGTTTCTGCTACGTCAACAGGTTGGCATACCTTCACTTCAACTTCATTTGCCGCTTCATTCTTGATTTGTAAGGATATGTTTACTTGGACTATATTTTTGTGGTCTAGTCTCTTTAAGTTTAGTCTGGTCTGGTAGATGTCTGATGTATGTGTATTTTACAAATATTGAAGTCTTAGGTCATGTTTAGGGGTGCAAACGAGCCGAACCAAGCTCGATCTTGGGTAGGCTCGAGTTCAAGCTTGAAATAGTTATAGTGGCTCGAGCTCGAGCTCGACGAGCTCAATAATTCAAGCTCAAATTCGGCTCGTTGGTTTTGACAAGGCTCGAGCTCGGTTCGTTTGGCTTGAATATTGAAGCTCGCGAGTTCAAGCTCGAGCTTGAGATTGAATTAAACCTATGCACTTTTTTTTATGTTAAAATAATTAATCGATGCACCAGAGATGTCAAACCTGTGCATTTCTTTTTTTGAGTTTTTTAGTTACTAAAAAATAAACCAAATACAAGAGAAATATTGTGCAGCAATGCTTCCCAAGAACTTTGCGTCCAAATGTTATCAACACAGTCGATCTCAAAATCAGGCTGCTTCTCAATTTCAAATGTTTCTCAAGAACAAATGCTTTAAGGGGTCAAATATCCACTTTTGTTGCAATGAGAGATCTGTTCAGTAACAAAAGTGTCATTTTGAAATGCAATTAGTCAGTGAAGATAACGAGCAAGAACATACTTAAAATAAAATCATCACAACCCAGTTGTTCAGATAAAGTGTTCTTATGGTAGACTTATACCGGAGCTTATACCTTACTTTTAATGTCCGGATAAGCTATCATCTTGGGTTGATAAACTCTCAAGAATAAAACCTTAATGTAAAGTACAACTTGCAGCTCCTGATTAGTGACCTTTCAGATCTGTATGCAAAATGGCCCCTTACAATATTAAGAACATCTCTCAAATGCCAAATTTTGCACAAAATGAAGCAAACCTCATTATTACTTATATTGACTAAGAGAGTATACAATTTTTTCAAATAAGACTATCAAGATGGGTTTATTCCTAAAAAACTGTTAAATAATTTTATTCCTTCTTTAGGACTGGATGAGCTCTATTTCAAACAAAAAATAAAGATACTTCCATTGGTGTAAATTGCCCATGTTTTATTCCTATTTCAATAAAAAATAAAGGAAATGATTAAATATACATGAGTCTAAGAAACTAATCTAATGAGATTACTTTTGGGCCGTAGCTGGAACTGCAGCAACAGAGTGACATTTTCGAGCTAGTGCTGGATCGAGTAGTTGCAAGGAAATGGAAAGGTTGAAAGAAGCGCTGACCTGGACTTAGGGTTAGATACTTAGATTTAGATATGAAGCTTAGGCTTTTGGAAATATAAGTCGAAGCTTAATTGCACCGTATATATATATATATATATATATATATATATATATATATATATATATATATATATATATATATATATATATATATATATATATATATATATACTCCCTCCGTCCCTTAAAACTTTGCCAACTTTCCTTTTTTGGATGTCCCACTAACTTTGCCACTTTCCCTTTTAAGTAAAGAATTTGTGGTTCCAGTTAATTCTCTCTCCTCTGCACAAAACTCAACCACACAGTTTTTACTTTATTAATCCCCGTGCCGGTCAAACTTGGCAAAGTTTTAAGTGACGGAGGTAGTATATATATATATATATATATATATATATATATATATATATATATATATATATATATATATATATATATATTACACTCACACACACATGAATGATCCAGACAGGACGGCTTGACAGGAACTGCCGTCCAGCCGCACCTATTTGAGGTGCTTCCGGGTGGATTTTTTTGATGAAAATTTGTGAGCATGTTCTTCATGAAATGTTGATGTTGTCCACCAATTTTTCACTTTAAAGTTCAACCGGGAAGTCAGTTAAATAAATCATTTAAAAACAGTGTTTTATATCTATATATATATATATATGCACAGTGTTTTTCAATAATTTATTTAATTGTCGTCATCATCATCATCACCCCAGTGCCGCAAAGGCTCCCACCCACCTACGGTGGGGTACGGGAGGTCGGATGTACTCAGTCTTACCCCTGTACTAAAGCACAGAGAGACTGTTTCCGAATGACCCATAATGAAAATCGCGTCGAAAAATACATGGACTGACGGTTGCTTCACAGTAAAGAAGCGCAGACAATTTAGTGAGCCATTTTGCTTTATTCCATCATATTCTCAAGCCAAAAAATAGTGAATTTTTGGCTCCATTGCAATTGATGGAACTAATTTATTTAATTGTCCTCCCGATAGAATTTTAAAGTGATATTTGGTGGACATCATCTAAACTTCATGAAGAACATGCTTACAAAATATCATCAAAAAATTCCACCCAGTAGCACCTCAAATGGAGGCGGCTGAACAGCGATTCCTGTCAGGCCGTCCTGATAGGATAATTCCCCTCTATATATTACGTAGTATATATAAAGTTTGCGAGCCGGATCGTGAGCCTTGGGCCAATAATATTAAGGCTCGAATTTGGCTCGATTTCTTACCAAACCGGCTCGAGTTCAAACACACACTGAACTTCAACCGAGCAGCTCGCAAGCGGTTTGGCTCGTGTGCACCCCTAGTCTGGTTTGTTTAAAAAAAGATTATACGTAATAGATTTTATTGGGACTCCTCTTTAATAACGACTTCTTCCTTAAAATTCAACTCTCCTTTGAAAATCCTTGATTTTAGAAAATCTTGAAGTTGAGCTGGTTTTTTCTCTAGGGATTTTTTACAAATAAGCTTAAAAGGGAAAATAATATCACTTTTTTCACTTTCCAATGTTTTTTTTCTTTCAAAAACAGACTACCTACAAGTTTCCTTTCATAAATAGACCAATCGTTGCATGAGACCCACCTACTGGAAACCTGGAATCCCATCTTCACGAGCACACACAAGTTCTTAATCTCGACTCCCTCTTTGATTAACAATACGATCTCCAGTTCTTTTTTTGTTTTAAATAGAAGAAATGTATTTTTTTTGAAAGGAAACTGACTGATTATATTAGAATTCAAAAACCAACGACATTACAAATTTTTCAATACTGAACACCCTCCTGCTACCAAACTCACCATAAGCCGAAGGTCCCCTCACCCTCTTATTAGACATAGAAATGACCACCCTAACTGGAGCGGATCGAGTCGCTAACCATTTGAGAGATTTGAAGATTATCTCGGCTCTTGAAGCCATCTTACTTCTCAAAGAATGCCTACCCACCTCATAAACATGACACACCCAAACAACTAAGGATCCAAAATAAAAACTAAACTTGAAAATAACAATATTAAAATGCAAACTAAATGAGTCTGCCACTACTTTCCAAGCTCCTTTATTCTTGATCCCTTCTAAATGAGATCTTCCACGAACAACTGAAACTCCTTTATTATTTCCTCGTTCATTGGCGGTGGTTCAAGAGGAGACCGGACCATCAGTACCTCTGTTTGAACATTGATTGCCTCCCTTGTTATGTTGCTTGGTTCACCTTCTCCCATGGATGAACTGTTTTGCCTTGAATTCCAGCTGGAACCTTCTCTCTGCCCATCCCAACCAAGTAGCCCTCCACTGTCCTGCTTCTCTCTCATCGAAGGCGTTGAAAACGGGCCGCCACCGCCACACACTGTCACACACAGACGCTAGGCTCCTCTGCTTGCCAAAATCAAAAGTTGTTGGGAATGCCGCACGCCTTTGCTTCTAACAGGCTCCGATCCGAATCGCCTGCCTCTACTTCCAAGCGGACAAAACGCCAGAGAAAGGCGCCGCCGTACCAAGTCTAACCAAGTCTAAGCCAGTTTCCTGCCATCACACCCCTCTACAATTGAATGCTACGGTTGATGAGGGTCCTTGGAAATATCTTGTAATGCTACATTATCATTTTATCACACATGATATTATATATTTTTTCATAAAAAAACAAAATCCATAGCTGAATCATTAGGAATTGATTTTATGTGGTTGACAAGGAATTAATGAACACAAAGGCTAAACTTCAGCAGAATGAATGAAGAACTGAAATTATTCACCTTAGAAATTGTTAGTGAGATTAGAGTACATTTTTCCCTGGGTTGAGTGAAATGATGGGATTCAGCACCTTCTTATAGATAAGAAGAAAATTTGAATGACACTCAGGATTTACTACTCTGCAAATTGTCCACCACAACAGAGATGTTTGACTTTATAGGATGATGGCCTGGCTAGGGAGGATCTAAGATGGATTTCATCACCTCCAGCAAAGCTATCTGAGGCACATCTCAACCAATTGGAAGCTATGTAGCACGAATACTTGACTAGAGTACCGTATCGGCGTATCAGAAACGTTCTCGTATTAAATACTCTAGGATACCCGTATCTGCAATTTATTAAAAGTTTCCAACTTTTTTGGTAATTATTTTATAAACTCGGATGCACGTATCTTGACGGATACACACATCAATTTTTTAAAGAAAACACCCAAAAATTTAATAATAAAAAGTCTTAAAAAATATTTATTAGAACTTTTAGTTTTTTATTAAAGTATTGTTTTCTATCTTCATGAGAATCTTTTATCCAAAAACTTTGAGTACTTGCACTTTTAATTCCAAAACTATGGTTGTTTGACTTGTTTCTCATTTCAAATTAGCGACTTATTGATTATATTATATTTCAAGATGCAAGAGTGTACGAACATGAGATAAAGTATGAATTTATTTCTCTCTCTTGATAATGTGAAATTCTTCAATGCCGGAATGGGCAAAGGATAATATATGTATATATTTTCAAAGAATATCTTGTAATTTTTAGTATTTATAATTGTACCCCATAATTTTTAATTTTTATAAATACACCCCCATAACGTTTAATATTTGTAATTATACCCCCAGATCTGTATCCTACGTTTTTTTGTTTTGCCATATCCCCGTACTGTTTCCGCGTTCCCTTATCGGTGCTACATAGACTGGAAGTAAAGCAATTGGCATCTCAACTTCCAGTCACCTGAAAACCTATTAGATAGAATGGAAGCCAAAGCACAAAGGAAACTGTGGAGGAGAAGAACGTCAGCTGCGAACGCTCCAGTGGAGAGAAACCCTCCAAGGTCGGGAAGAAGCTCCTGACAGAATCTAGTGCTGGAGACAAGGATGAGGATGAGGAGGCAAAGAAGAGAGTCCAGGCAGCAGCGCGACTCGTGCTTCCAGGTAGGCACGCCGTGAATGAAGGAACAACGCTGTCACCAACTTTACTCCTAACCGTAAACCAGATCCTTTGTATTTGCAATCCTCGCGAATTTAGATGAAACAAAGCATATATTTTGAGGTAGAATGAAATTGAGAAGACGAGCAAAGAGAAATATCTCCTCACCTCGCGACGCATGTCAATACCATCATAGTCCATCCTTCTCTCTCCTCCATGGTAGATCACCTAGTCCAGGAGATATGGCTACAACTCCACTGCGATCTGAAATCGGCGAATGGATACAACTCCAATCTAAATTTGGCTATAGAGACAATTCAAATCTTTATTTTTAATTTGCAAGATATAGGGTTCAGCGTGAAGGGATAGATAACTTATTTTTGAAATAAAATAGTTGAAAGTGAATAGATGAAAGTTCATAAATGAAAAAACCCATCCTCGTGCCATAAATGATATATGATGGGCAAAAGTTGCTCATCGAGATAATTACCACTTTTCTTTAATACAAAATGACCACATGTGTGATTGTGTGATGTGCTCATGTGCTTCTCACTCATCTATCCAGATGAGGGCTATAAAAGAGGAACTGGGTGATAATGATGATGATGATGATTTGACTTCCCTCGAAAGGAAGATGCAAGATGCAGGAATGCCCGCAGATATCTGGAAACATGCTCATAGGGAACTAAGGTATGCTTATATCCAGGCTTTATTGGCAGTTCGGACTTTTGAAGTCCTTTTCATACCATTGTGAAGTACGTAATAAAATTTGAAGATTTTGAATAATTCGCTCGATGTTTTTTTCATAAATTATAGTAATTGACCTGAAAGAGCATTTCCCAACTTGCCATAACTGATAACTCTAAATTTGTGAGTACGTGTAAAGGCTATATGATACTGGGTAGTTTGACTTGTTTACTTCCTTTTAATTTCTACACTGGGTTGACATATCAGGAGACTAAAAAAAATGCAGCCTCAGCAACCTGGGTATAATAGCTCGCGTGTGTACTTGGAGCTTCTTGCAGACCTTCCCTGGCAGAAGGCTAGTGAAGTGCATCATCTGGACCTGAGTGCTGCAAAAGAGCGTCTTGACAGTGACCACTATGGTTTGTATAAGGTTAAGCAGCGGATAATAGAGTACCTAGCAGTTCGCAAGGTTCAGCAGCATTCCAGTTGTTATGTATACTTGATCCTTTCGGTGAGAAAGGTTTTAACTATGTTCTAAATATCCATGCAGCTCAAAGAAGATGCAAGAGGTCCAATATTGTGTTTTGTTGGCCCACCCGGTGTTGGGAAGACATCTTTAGCTACAACTATTGCTGCTGCTTTGGGCAGGAAATTTGTACGCATATCTCTTGGTGGTGTCAAAGATGAGGCTGATATCAGAGGTCACAGGAGGACATACATTGGAAGCATGCCCGGACGTCTAATTGATGGATTAAAGGTGTGGAGCTTCCCTTGCGCCCGTGTGTCAGTTCTTCTCGTAGCTTATAGGGCTAGTACATGAATATTACTAATAAGTAAGTTATAGACAAAAAGAGACATTTTTTTAGTTTCCAAAAATGTGACTAAATAGGTCGTAAAACTAGAAACACATCAATGTGTAGTACTAAATTACCTCACCTAATACCTGACCCGACCCTGATGCTCCCGTGACTCCGGCAGGCCCAACGTCCTGCCGCTACCCGTGGCTCAGTGGCCTGCTGTCCTCATGAACCACACCGCTCCAGTGACCAACTAGCAGTGACTCCAGTGATCCAGGGACCTGCCTCCCTAGTGACCTGTCGACTCAGTGACTGTTAGGGAGTGGGAGGCAGATGGGCCGAGGCTCTAGGAGGAGGCAACTGGGCCGATGCTTCAGGAGGATGGGCCTCGCCCGCTATTAGTTTACTGTCGCTGTCAGTGGACCTAATTGGGCTGGGTTGACTGCTGGGTTTTATTACTTTCATTCAATTGTTATTTCTAATAAACTGTTGGGCCTAGATGGCCATATTTTATTATTAGGTTACTGGGCCTAGATGGCCATATTTTATTATTAGGTTAAGGAGTATTTAAGGAGGTCTGATCTTGTGAACTATGATATATTATAGAGAATAAAGAATTGGTTTGAGCCTAAGGCTGGGGCAGACGTGAATATTGTCTGCTAGGGTTTTCTGTTTCTATCATTGACCTAGTCGCCTCACCTAGTGTCAGCACCGCAACACCACAGCTTCCCAGTGACCCGACGCCTCAGACCAACCACCACTAGTAACTTGGGCCTTTCAGTGACCAACCTTTCACTGCACAACCAGTCCATCCGGCCCGGCCCTCTGCCAGTCTGCCACTTCCCTACCACTTTCCCCATTCCCTGCCATTGCCCCCTGCCCCAAAACCCTAGCCGTTGATGGCGGTTTGAAACCCTAGCTGCCGCTGGACTGTTTCACCTTCACAGGGATCAAATAAGCCTGTCAAAAAGTAAGACCGAAATGCTGCCGCTGAAGAGATTTGTCGCCGTCTCGTCAAAGAGATCTATTGACACTGGTGCCGAAAAGATTCTTCGCCGCTGCCGTCATAGAAATCTGTTGCCGCCGCAGGAGTAGAGGCGCCATCTGCATCGCAGAAGCAGAGGCGCATCCCATTTGCATCAGCTGGCACAACATCGAGCTGTGTAGGAGACTAGGAGTTACACATGTGCAGACCGGAGGGAGAGGGTGCAAATCGGAGGGACATACGAAAGGGAGATGTTGTAGACGAGAGGGAGAGGGGAATTTAGGGTTGTTTCTTAATATTTAAACTATGTGTGTTTTTGTCCTTCCAATACCACTTAGTCTTTTTTTGTCCAATTTAAAATTAGGTTTCATTTTTATCCACTCAAAAGCTCATAGAATTATTTATTACGTATATCATTATTTCATACCTTATTCCAATTTTTACTAATTGTATACCATCTAAAATTTCATGAAATCCATTATATGGTTCATGACTTGATGATATGCAAGAGAAACATGGTCCAGTTAGAACTCTATGGAAGTGTTAGTAGTGAGAGAAAACAGGGAAGAAGATATATGCAAATTTTGAAGAAAAGAAAATCTGGGGGAAAGTAAAACATTGGTTCAAAGTTCAAACACTATGTATTTTGATATTGAGTTTTTGACACTTCTAATCATCTGACTATTGTATCAGTGACACTTTTGGTACTCAACTTTGATCTTTTATACTTTTTGTCCTTCGAATATTGTGAGAGACACTTTTGGTCATCGACTTTGAATTTTTCCACTTTTGGTACTTTGAATACTGCGAAAGACACTTTTTGTCCTCGGCTTTGAAATTTTCCACATTTTAGTCCTTTGATTATTGTAAAAGTGTGAAAGTGGAAAACTTCAAAGTTGAGTACTAAAAGTGTCACTAATATAATAGTCGGAGGATTAAAAGTGGCAATAATCCTTTTGTTATTTGTTTAACCTAATTTTACTTCATTAATTTTATGATATACGAAGTATATAAGAAATCTAAACACATGCAAAGTTAAAAAACATTAATTGTGTTTCATTTTCTTAAGCATTTATGAGGTGATATTGAATACAAGAATGTAACCTTTGTTAGCATCTCTTTTCCTTTTCCTAGAATTTTATGGGATCTAAACAAGCCCTACCGAAGCCTTTGAAGTCCATTTATATCTTAAAACAACAAAGATATTGTACCTTGCCACCACGAGATGTCATATCCTGTTAAGCCAATTATGAGGCGTGAAATTGCAAATATTTCGAGAGGGGATCAAATAGATTATGTTGACTACTTGACTGCTCTAAAAACTTTCTGATGGAGAAACTTTAAAAAATGATTTACTAACAAGTATGCGGCATCAAGATAAAGTAGATATTCATTGTAGTAGACTAAATGGTTGTGTGTTACTGTGCAATATTAATTTTTTCACAATTTCTAGTATGTTCTGTTTCAAATTATACATGGTTGTTCTGTAGAGATTGTGAATTTATGAATATTTTTTATGTATTATAATCTCAGAATAACATGATTTTTGTACAACCTATTGGGGAGAGAATCCAAGAGATTAAGGGGGTGTTTGGAACTGATTCTGATTCTGCTTCTTTTTTAAAGCAGAATCAGAATCAGTTTTCAGAAGCTGGTCACCCCCAGCTTCTAAAAAAACTGATTCTAGGAGTAAATTAGAACACCAAAATCACTTCTGCACTTTTACCCAAACACTCCAACTTCTGCTTCTGCTCCCTAAAGGAGCAGAAGCAGTTTTAAGAATCAAATCCAAACACCCCCTAAATATACGAATATGCTAATTTAAACAATAGAATATCCTATTCCTAGAAAGAATAAAATACATGATATCTGATATTAATATCAGATCTGATCTAAAGTACAACGGTAGCTATTCTCTAAATAAGGAAATAAATCCACAAAGATATTAATGATGGATCTTTATATACTTGTATTCATAATATATCAAAATAATTAATGCTTATCCTGTGTTATCTACTCGCAATTCGTGGGATGACCGTGACGTTTAGCAGTCTGACTCGGCCCATTTTGTTTTTGTGTTACTCGCCGAGCTTCTTAACTCAGTGGCAATTTTGATTCGACGAGTTACTCAGCAACCACTAAATGTTTTTTTGAGTTAAATCTGAGAAGTGTATACTAAACCGGGATACTATGAAACTTATAAATAATGAGTGGGTATTTTATAAATTGGAAAAATAACATTACAAAGTCAGTTTAGGTTTAAAAGTATTTAACAGATCGGATCATATTCGTGAGATGATTCATTTTCTTGAAAACTTAGAATGTCTATGATTTTTGCTACTTCATCATTAGGATTATTATTGTTTTATTCATATCAAAGAATTGTGGGGCTAATATACTACTCCCTCCGTCCCTTAAAACTTTGCCAACTTTCCTTTTTTGGATGTCCTACTAACTTTGACACTTTCCCTTTTAAGTAAAGAATTTGTGGTTCCAGTTAATTCTCTCTCCTCTCTCCTCTTCACAAACCTCAACCACACAGTTTTTACTTTATTAATCCTCGTGCCGGTCAAACTTGGCAAAGTATTAAGGGACGGAGGTAGTACTAGAATTTCGGACATCTATATTTTTAAATTTAATCAAGACAGGGATGAGTAATCCCAAGTACTCGGTCCTACTTGCTACTCGGCCTTGACCGAGTTGCTACCGAGTAGATTTAACTTCTCAGTGCTTACCTATTAGTGGTATCGGGGGTTAGTACGATATACAGACATGCATGATTCAATAGATGCGTACTATCAGAAGTTTTTTAGTTTGGATGGGTGTACTTGAATTGTTAGTCAAATTGTTTATTTTGCTAACACAACTACGTTAGCCTACAATATGGAGATCTCCAATATGTCTTTTGTTCTGTCCAACTTGCAGAGAGTAGGGGTTTGTAATCCGGTCATGCTACTGGATGAGATTGACAAAACAGGTTCTGATGTGAGGGGGGATCCTGCTTCAGCACTTCTTGAGGTCCTTGATCCTGAGCAGAACAATGCTTTTAACGATCAGTATCCTGCAGCTAACTGCTTTCTTGTATAAATAATATGTTTGTTAACTTGATGAGGTAAAGTTATACTTATAGTCGAGTGACTGTTTCAAAAATCAACAGTCAGTTGTTTTCGAGTTGGACATGAGTTAAAATACCATTCAAATACTATCTTCTGTAGGAAATAGCAGGATCTCTGACTATGTCTTTATTTTTCTGGTCATACATGTCTTCATTGATCACTTCTAAAAAGGCCCACTGAAGAGGATCTCACATGCGATTATCCCCCATATATTCCTCCCTCAACCTCAAATCAACAAAGTTCAAACAAACGTAGCAATGCCCCTTGGTCTTTTAGAACTTAGTTATGTATGTGAATCATACTGTTGTACATCCTTTAATGAACTCATGTTTCACGCACTATGATTCCTTAAATAAAATTTCAGTTATCTGGGTTTACCATTTGACCTCTCGAAAGTAATATTTGTGGCAACCGCAAATAGGAAGCAACCCATTCCTCCTCCACTCTTAGACAGAATGGAAGTCATTGAGTTGCCTGGGTATACACCAGAAGAAAAGCTTAAAATAGCGATGCACCATTTAATCCCGAGAGTTCTTGATCAGCACGGCTTAAATTCTGATTTCCTTCAAATTCCCGAGGTACAGTAGTCATGACATTTGGCATATAATTTTAGTTGGAAAAAATAGTGTGAACTGATTGCCTGCTTGTTTTATGCTCATCATCATCACCTTAATCCCATGCACATTAGGGTCGGGGTCTTGCAATTTACTCCATACAATGTTGATTTGTTGTTTATTACCCCTCATCTAAAATAAAGAGCTTTCAAAATTTCTGTTGTCCCAAATAAGAGCCCGATATTAGAAGTACAATTTAACTTCAAAGTAAAATTCATGTAAAGCCAAGCGCCAAACCATAGTCAATTCATGCAAACCATCTTTGAAGTTAGTTTTAGGGTATAACTGACCAACTGACCATTCATAACATTTGAATGCTTGTACCTTGATTTAATTAACTAAATATAAAAAGTTGTACGGTTGTACCTTATTAAACTAGTCTTCTTGTAGCAACCGTCTAAAGAATAATAGTGAGATGAAATTCTAATTCTGTTGTCTTTTATTAGAAAAGGTAGAAAGTGAATCTTATTGATTTAGGGAAACAGTACAAGTATTTATAGCTAGCTAACTGATCAACAGACTGATCAGAAAGTCTACAACTAACTGTAACAACCTAACAATACAATCGGTTATTTAGTAGGCTATATACAGCTATATACAGAAACAAGACTTATTCAATATTCCTAACATCCCCCCCCTCAAAATTAGGGTGATTGATTTGGAAATTCAATCACACTAAGTTTAGTTCTCAGATCCAGGAAGGTGGGTGCAGATAATGGTTTAGTCAATATGTCAGCAAGTTGATGAGGGGCTGGGATGTGAAAGATTGCAAGTTGCTTGGATTGTACTTTTTCCCTGACAAAAAACAGATCTATCTCCATATGTTTGATCCTTGTGTCATGCACAGGGTTGTGGGCTAGCTGAACTGTGCTTAAGTTGTCACAATAGATTCTAGGAGTGTGAAAGGAGACTTGGAGTTCTTTTAGCAGAGACCGGACCCATAACAATTCTGCAGCAGTATCAGCAAGACTCCTGTACTCAGCTTCTGCTGAGGATCTTGCCACATGAGTTTGTTTCTTTGACCACCAAGAAATGATGTTTGATCCAATGAAAATACAGGAACCAGAGGTAGATCTTCTATCAGTTAGGTCAGAAGCCCAATCAGCATCACAAAAAGCTGATATAGGAAGAAAGGAGGTGGTTAAAGGCTAAGGCTTGACAACAATACCATGTGTGATAGTTCCAGAGAGGTATCTTAATATGTGTTTAACAGCTTTCCAGTGATCTTGCAAAGGTGTGGCCATAAACTGACACACCTTATTGACAACAAAACTAATTTCTGGTCTGGTTAGGGTGGCATATTGCAGTGTTCCAACAACTGATCTGTATAAAGAAGGATCTGGCAATGGATCACTACCCTGATGGGTGAGTTTGCAGGTACTGATCATAGGTGTTTTAACACCTTTTGAGTCTATCATGCCCACTTGATGAAGCAAATCCCTTACATATTTGCCTTGAGATAGATGCAAACTATCATCTGATAGCTTCTTGACCTCTATGCCTAGGAAGAAATCAATATCTCCCAGATGTTTTAGAGAAAATGATGAATTCAGTTTATGAATGAGTTGCTGGATGACTGCAGAGTTGTTTCCAATGACCAAAATGTCATCAACATATATAAGAATGTATATTTGGATTCCAGAAGACACAAAAATTAGCAAGGAAGGATCACATTTGCTTTGTTTGAAGCCAGCATTATAAAGAACTGAGGTCAGTTTTTGAAACCAGGCTCTTGGAGCTTGTTTAAGTCCATAAAGAGACTTATGAAGTTTGCAGACCAGGGAGGTATCTGTGGCTTAAAACCTGGGGGCTGTGTCATGTACACATCTTCCTCTAGTTCCCCATTTAAGAAGACATTATTGATATCAAGCTGTTGAATAGACCAATTGCATGATACAGCAAGAGTGAGAAGAATTCTGATAGTTACTGGCTTAACAACTGGGGAAAAAGTCTCTCCAAAGTCAAACCCAAATCTCTGGTGAAACCCTTTAGCAACAAGTCTGGCTTTAAACTTGTTTAAGGAACCATCTGAATTCTCCTTGATTCTGAATACCCATTTGCAGCCAACTGCCTGCTTGTCTGGTGGTAAAGGGACTAGTGACCATGTGTTGTTGTTCTTGATGAGGGTATCATATTCTGACTTCATAGCTGCAAACCAATCAGGAGAAGCAAGTGCTTGCTTAACTGATTTGGGCTCAGTATGAGCTAATAGCAAGGTTGGATTTAGTCTTGGTTTCACAATTCCTGATTTGGCTCTTGTAGTCATGGGATGAGTGTTAGTAATAGGAGAGATAGATGAAGAAGATGTTGAGGAAACAGAATCTGTGGGAGAAGAGGAGAGATTAGTGTTTATAGGCTGATCAAATTGAGGTGATATATGACCTGATGAAGAAGGAGAAGAATTCTGAGAATCAGTGAATAAAGAAACAGATGATGATGACTGAGTAGAAGAGGAGTGTGGTGTGGATGATAGGTGTGGGGAAAGAATTGTGAGAGGAGCAGTAATAGATGAAGAATTGGAAACAGACTGTGAATTGGGAGTGGAAAAGAGAGTTGAGTATGGAAATTTTGACTCATAGAAGATAACATCTTTTGAAATGTACACTTTGCCAGAAGGTGAGAGGCACTTGTAGCCTTTATGTTGTGGAGAGTAGCCTAGAAATACACACTCTTCAGAATGAAAGTCCAATTTGTGCTTATTATAAGGCCTTATAAATGGATAACATGAGCAACCAAAGACTTTAAGGAAGAAATAATCTGGGAGGGATCCAAAGAGTTTGAAGTAAGGACTGAAATTGTGGATGGATGTAGATGGTGTTCTGTTAATAAGATGGACTGCAGTAGCAAAGGCAGTATCCCAAAATTTGAATGGTAATGAAGAATGAGCAAGGAGACAGAGACCTTTTTCAACAATAGTACGATGTTTTCTTTCAACTACACCATTTTGGTGATGTGTGTGTGGACATGTCAGTCTATGTGTGATGCCTTTTTGTGTTAGGAACTGATGAAATGACCTGAATTCTCCTCCCCAATCTGACTGAATAGATTTGATTGACACAGAAAATTGATTGAGCACATATTGATAGAAATTTTGAAAGGCTGTGATTGCATCAGACTTCTTTTTAAGAAAGTAGATCCAAGTGTACTTTGTATAGGCATCAATGAAAGAAATTTAATAGGAGTAGCCATCAAAGGATAAAACAGGAGCTGGTCCCCAAAGATCAGTGTAAACTAATTCAAAAGGTGAGTGATATTCAGTGGTAGAATTGTGAGATGGTAATCTGTGTGCTTTGCCTAAACAACATGCAGAACAGAACTCAAAGAACAGAACTCAACATTATTTTTATTTATAGATGCAACATTACAATGTTTGAGTACAGATTTGAGTGCTTCAAAGTGAGGATGGCCAAGCCTCAAATGCCACAGATTACAATCAACTAAAGAAATACAAAATTGAGGTTTTGACAAGTAGAACTATAGGAAGACATATTAGTAAATTTTGAAATAGGAAGAGTGGACTGCCGAGGACCAAGAGATGGAAACTTTGTGAACTTGTAAAGACCATCTTCACCAAGAGTGCCATGTAAAAGAACCTGTTTAGAAACCTGTGATTTTACAAAGCACTCATGAGGATAGAATTCAAAGAATACATTGTTGTCTTTTGCAAACTGACTAACACTCAAAAGATTTTTGTTAATAGATGGAACATGCAGAATATTGTTGAGTGCTAGATATTTAGAAGAGTGAAGGGGTGAAGGAAAGGAAGAGTGACCAATAGACTTTATGTCCAAACCTTGGCCATTGCCCATAAAGAGCTTCTCAGTTGTTGCAAACGGCTCACTGTGCTGAAGGTTTAGAGGGTCTGAAGTGACATGATATGTTGCTCCAGAATCTGGGTACCATTGTTGAGGTTGAGGTGAAAAACCTGGTCCAAGTATGGAAGAATGAGCAGTTGCTACAGCTGCAGTTGGTATAGGACTGGATGATTGCTGATTCCAGTTGAAATTTTCTGGAGCAGGGTTATTAAATCTGGATTGAGGTGGGTGATACGATTGAGGATTCCAGTGATTTTGAAATTGTGAATTGACTGGTGGTGAGGGATAAGGAGTGTGATTAGGATGGACAGTTGATTGATGAAGGTAGTTGTTATGGTTAGAGGATGATGTTTGCTGATTCCAAGGATTAGAGGGTGTAGGATTGGGATTGGTGTAGTTTGAAAAGCATGCAGCATAAGCAGGATTATAACAGTGATAGCAATTTAGGGCATTATGGCCAGGTTTTCCACAAACTTGACAGATGATTGAATTACGACCACCAAAACGACCACCACGTCCTCCGGAGAATTCTCCTCGACCACGTCCTCTGTAGGGAGGATTTGAGGTGTGATTTTGAAATTGAGCAACATTTTCAGAAGAATTTTCTGAAATTGTTGGATTGACAGCTTCAATATTTGGAGTCGGAGCTTCCGCACGAGCAATATTGGCAGAAAACAATGTTTGCTGAGAAGATTCACGTAATTTCTTTTGGCGTAATTCCTTTGCTAGAAGTAGCGTCTCGAGTTCTGTAATAGTTACGGGGTCCAGAATGCTTCGAAATGATATAGAAGAAAAGAAGTCCTTCGAGATTGACATTGATGTGATCCTTTGTGGATACAGGTTCACCAATGTTCATTAGAGTGTCAACAATGTTCTGAATGCGAAGGAGATATTCTGAGATTGATCGATCACCTTTTCCAGTTGAGTAGAGTTCGGATTTAAGTTGTCTAGCCCTGGTGACAATGTTTGCCTGAAAATATTTGTCAATTTCGTTCCAGAGTTGATACGAATGTTGACAGTGAATTACTCGAGTATGGAGAGTTTCATAAAGAAACGATAAGAGCCATGAAAACAGCATCTGATCCTGCTGTTCCCAAGTAGCATAGGCATCGTTCTCAACTTTCGTACCTTCTTCCGCATCAGCGATGAATTTCTCAGGAATTTCAGGTTTCTCAATAAATTTGAGAAGTTTATGAGCACGGATTACAGATTGAACGTGGTGTTTCCATAGGAGAAAATTGTTCGAATCAAGCTTGATAGGAAGAGGATGATTGAATGTGACTGGAATTGTGACATTTCCAGAAGTTTGGGAAGAAGGTATTTGGGGAAACCATATGGTATCAGAGCTCTAGATCTGATACCATATTAGAAAAGGTAGAAAGTGAATCTTATTGATTTAGGGAAACAGTACAAGTATTTATAGCTAGCTAACTGATTAACAGACTGATCAGAAAGTCTACAACTAACTGTAACAACCTAACAATACAATCGGTTATTTAGTAGGCTATATACAACTATATACAGAAACAAGACTTATTCAATATTCCTAACATCTTCACATGTTTTTTTTTACTTCTGATTCACTGTACTATGTTTTACTTATTAGGGTATGGTGAAACTTGTTATCCAATGGTACACTAGAGAAGCTGGTGTGCGTGATCTGGAGAGGAACTTAGCAGCTTTAGCACGTGCAGCAGCTGTCAGGGTGGCAGAACAACATACTTTGCCCCTTAACAAAGATAATATGCAAAGGCTTACTTCACCGCTCTTGGGTAGCAAACTTGCAGAGGGTGGTGAAGTCGAAATGGAAGTCATCCCATTGGGTGTCAATAATCATGACATACCAAATGCGTTTTCCATTGCTTTGCCTTTAATGGTTGATGAGTCTATGCTCGAGAAAGTGCTTGGAGTAAGTGCATTTCTCTCTCCATTTACTTTTATGTAAACCCTTCAACTTATTGTCACAACTATGCGGCCGTTTTGTAGATTTAATTTTCTTTTATCAACATGACCAATTATATTCACCAAAAACAAACCTAATTGTCTTTTTTCATTTTTATACTTCCTCCGTTCTTTTTTAGTTGCAACGTTTTCATTTTCGCGTTTTCTAACACACAACTTTGACCATTTATATACTTCATTCCTCATCAATGAAATAAATAAAAAATTCAGATTTTGAAAATTTAAAATGTGGGGAATTTAACAATATTTTTCCTAAAATGTAGTAAAAGTAGATCATGTGAATAGTGTAAAATTTAACATGTTGCATCTATTTAAGAACGGAAGTAGTATTGTTTTCTTTATTTTATTAAAAAAACATGGGAAAATTGCATATATGGTCCCTCGGTTATCCACGAAATTAAAATCTCAGACCTGTATTTCTGAGATTGTAAATGTCACCCCTCAATTGTTCAAATTGTTGTAAATGTGGTCCTTTAAGTGATGAAATGTACTCTCGCCCACATTGTATATTTCACCCCTTAAAAGGACCACATTTACAACATTTTGGACAATTGAGGGGTGGCATTTACAATCTCAGAAATATAGGTATGAGATTTTAATTTCGTGGATAATTGAGGGACCATATATGCGATTTTCCCAAAAAACATTTTTGACAATCCAATCCATTTAGCAATCTCCAGCAAATGCAGTTCATTCATCTGCTCCAGTCATTTCAGCCAACCTTTACTATGAGTTTTTCAGAAAATGAGATTGTATTGTCAAAACGTCTTTGCTAGCACCTGCCCTTATGTTCGTTGGATACTTGGATGTGTTATTTATTTTGTGTGTCACGATATAAGCCCCCAAGATACAATGATCAAGAGACTGCAGAGCGAGTTGCCTCTCCTGGAATAGCTGTTGGGTTAGTCTGGACAGCATTTGGGGGAGAGGTACAGTTTGTTGAGGCAACACATATGGCGGGAAAAGGAGATCTCCATCTTACAGGCCAACTAGGGGGTGTTATTAAAGAGTCTGCTCAGATTGCACTAACATGGGTAAATATTTTGTTCGCGAACTTTTACAATTTTTTTTTATCTAAAAATAGTTTTCGTTGTAACAAAGTCAGAATCCAGTGGTTATGGATTCATACTATTATTGAATCCATAATAGTGGTTTGAAAATGCTTAATTTGTGCACTTTCCCTTCATTTTTCTCCCCTGGGGGGCATTGATTAGAGTAGACACATTACGTGATACTTCTATTGCATCTAATGTTGAAAACTATGTTCATGTCTTGTCATTTTAAAATAGCGCAAAAAGTCTAAATCGCCCCCAAATGGTCATACAGTGAGCTCTCCGGTGAGAACTTAGATGTACTTCTACCTAATTGTCAGTGCTTATGCTTAACCTAGCTAAGAAAGTTTCATTGAACGGAAAGAAAGAGCTCAATAAAGCCATTACCCCAGAGGTTGTAGAATTTATTAATTCACTCTAAAAAAGAGCCTAGTTTGTTGAAATATAACTTTTAATTTTGGAAAGGCACAACTATTAAAAGTCCTGAAATCTACTTGCATTTTTAGAATTTATTTGTTGGCTAAATTAAACTTATCATATTTAACTTGCTTGTAACTTTTTATTTTTGCACATTAGATTAGAAATTTGCTTCTTTTCTTTTTGGGAGAAAACTTCTGAAACCCGAGCCTTTTTATGGGATGGAGTATTTTTATTTTTTTGAATATACATATACCAAAAAGTTGTTCTCGGTTCACCATAGGTATGCTCTAGAGCAACAGAACTCATGCTGTCAACTTGTGAAGAAAAAAGTGTACTGGATGGACGTGATATTCATATTCATTTTCCTGCTGGGGCTATACCCAAGGACGGACCATCCGCTGGGGTAACTCTGGTTACCTCTCTTGTTTCAATGTTCAGCCAAAGAAAAGTTAGATCTGATACAGCAATGACGGGAGAGATGACTCTGAGGGGACTAGTGTTGCCTGTTGGTGGTATCAAAGATAAGGTTTGGACTTTGTGTCCTTTTTCTTAATATTTTATTGCTATTATCCTTTGTTTTAATATCCCCATGTTAAGTATGGTTTGGAATTCTTAGTTTTGATAACCGGGCTGGATTGGCCGGTTGAACTGGGAATCAGTTCACTACATAAATTATCCCAAAGATCAACTGCCATCCTAATACAGGTGAAAAAGTATGGCTTTAGCTAAATAAAGGCTAAACTATAGTCACAATATTTCTTATACATTGTTGTTTGTATATTTTACATTTTTATCTTATATTATATGGCCTACTCTTTAAAACATGGCCATTTTGTTAATTCATAATCTATTTTATCCTATGTTTTTTACTACTTCATACTACATTTGTCCCGGTTAAAGGTTCTCATTGTAAAATGGCACAATTATTTAGACAATAATTAAATAAGGTAATTCGAGTATATTTTGAGAAATAACTTTTGATGAGTATTAAATATAATTGGGTCATTGATGATAACTGTGATGTTATAGATGTATTTTTTTTTTAAAATTTGATTATTAAAATGTCATTTAAGAGTGTTAATTGTTTCCCAAAATAGAAATAGGAACCTTAAGCTGGGACCTTTAAAAAAGGAAAGTGAAACCTTGGGTTGAGACAGAGGAAGTAATAATTTATACTGGCTAATAAAATAAATAAACCCGCATGTGCACACAAATCAGTTGGACCACAAGTGAACCAGGATTTCATCAATTCAATGACCAGTCTGGTTTTGACAACATTGATTTGGATCCAATTTTAATAGTAATGTGCTCTTTTCATATAATCTCATGCCCTACAGGTTTTGGCGGCCCATCGTTATGGCATCAAAAGAGTAATCCTACCGGAGAAGAACTTGAAAGATTTGGTTGAAGTCCCAGCAACCGTGCTCTCCAGTCTGGAGGTAATAAAAAATTTCTGTAAGTTAAACACCATATTGTTTAACAGTGCCTGTCTCCTACTCGTGCATTGCATAGCAACCACGCACCGCGCTACCAACTCCTCCCCCACAACCTCCTGAAGTGCATGCTTCTTAAGGAGTCTTATTCTTTTCTAAATATCATTGCATCTTAACGTTTCTTTTAATAATTAAGGAAAAAGGGTCAAATAGGCCCTTCTACTATTTCCAATCCGTCACTTAAGCCCCTGTACTAAAAAAAGTATCATATCAGTACGCCTACTTTACAAAAGTGATCAATTTGAATTAGTTTTTGACATGCAGTAGCAAGATTTAGTATTTAAAAACTCTAAAAATTGTTAAAATTTGAAAAAATTTATACAAAAATTGTGAAAATCTTCAGAATATCAAAGTCAATATTTTTTAATTTTTAAAAATATTTGTATATTCTACATCTATTTAAAACGTTTTTAAATTTTTTATTTTTATTTTTTTATTTTCACTTTATTATTTCAGTTTTATGATTATTTTTATTTTTGTATTTTAATGTTTTTAAAATTTTATCTATTTTTTTATATTATTATCACTGTTTATTCAAATTTATATGAATTTTGTAAGATTTATCAATATTCCTAATTTAATTTAAAAAAATAATCTGCTATAGCAGGTCAAATGACTTCATTGATTGTATTTTTAGTGATGGATTAGAAATGTAGGAGGGCTTATTTGACCCTTTTTCTATTAATAATTAATACTATGTATAGAAATAACAACATCTAGTCTTGGTCCCAAAAAATGTTGAGGTCGGCTAACATGAGTTGTTACATGATATTGGAGTCAAAAGGAAAAGAAAGAGATAAAAGGAAAAAGTATAATAAAAAGATAAAAACATAGAGACAAGATATACTATGTACATAAAACTGACAAGATAAAAAGGATTAAAAGAATAGATATACTCGCTCCGTCCCTAAAAGGATTGCCAAGTTTGACCGGCACGTAAAATAATAAAGTAAAAATTGTGTGGTAGAGATTTGTGCAGAGGAGAGAGAAATAACATGAGCTACAAATTGATTGATTAAAAGGGAAAGTGTCAAAGTTTTTGGGACAACCAAAAAAGGAAAGTTGGCAAAGTTATAAGGGACAGAGGGAGTATAAAATAAAAGGATAAGAAACATACAACAACAACATCCAAGCCTTAGTCCCAAAAGATATTGGGGTCGGCAAAAGGATAAGAAACATAAGAAATATAAATAAGAAAAGGGGAAAAAAGAGATAAGAGATCAATCCGTGAATACTCAGTAATTAGTAATAATAATAACAATATTAATATGAAAACTAATTATACACACTCTTGTTATTATATACTCCCTCCGTCACATAAAATAAGTCCCACTTTCCTTTTTGGGTCATCCCAAAAAATTGTTCCCATTTCCCTTTTTGGAAAGTTTTGTGTGGCTAACATTCATTTACCTTTTTCTTACTCAACCACAACCACACGTTTCCACTTTATTCCCACTTTCTTAAAATCCGATCCAAATTGAAGTGGGACTTATTTTATGGGACGGAGGTAGTACTTCCCAAATATGTAAAAAATATGTTTTTTTTTCAAAAGTATTACTAATTTTTTTTGAGAAACTAAAATAAAATTTATTTACAAAAAGTAATTAATAATAATAATATTAATATGAAAACTAATTATACATACTCTTTTTTGGAAGAAGGTGACTTATTTTGATATAATATAGAATTCAGATAAGGAACATAAAGATAAAAAGTCCACTCCCAACCACCAGCCCTCGAACCAAACTTAGTGTCGATCACCTTCCAGAAAACAATATGACTCGTTGATCCTATAATGAGCATAACTGAGCCAAAGGCGGTCAAAACATACCTCTCATCACTCAATCCAAACCCAAGAGTCTGACAGAACGAAATACAAAAAGCAATAGCAATAGTCTGACCAAAGCATAAAAATAATTACTGGAATTTAGTTGCTTCCCCAGAACCATGAGAAGTTCCAGCTGTCTCGCCTTTCCATATTGCTTTCTCAGAAACCCCGGCGAGCCTGGTATCCAGCACCCGCCTCTCCATTTTTTTGGCTCGTCCAAAGCAATTCCATCATCGCTGCCTCTTCGCCGTCGTCTCCTTCCTCAAAGACCAGTTTGTTCCCTCTTCTCCAATATCAAAGTTATCATACTGGTTGACGATGGATTCCATAGCATCACTCCTATCTGACCCCTCATGCTCCGCCATGGAGAGTGTGCGCCGATCCAGCCAACAAACCTGCGCAAAACAAAGAAATAATGGCCGCCTTCGTCGAAGCCAAACCCTACTTTGAGGGTAGATGACCACTTTATTTTTCTTCCTTCCTTTATATAAAATGCTCATGGTTTAATTTTACTTTTTTAAGTTAGGAAAGAAAATTATTTTTAACTTTACAAATTTAACCATATATATTACAAATTTCAAAATGAATTTTACTTTTTAATAATATTTTGTTAAAACTTGTATACTTTAGAATAATAATTTAATTTCTATGTTGACCGGGTCGCTTTCCGAGTTTCCGGTCCGGTTTTTACAACATAGTTCAATTTTTAAAACTCCATGTTTTAATTATTGGAAATACGTCACTGGTACAGATAGTCGCCGCCAAGAGGATGGAAGATGTGCTGGAACATGCCTTTGAAGGTGGTCTTCTCCCTCGGAGGCAACACTCAAGATTATAATGACAAATGGACTTGTACAGTAACTGTTACTGCTCCAGTTTTGAGCCTGCTGCCGCAAATCCTTTTAATTATGGTTTGTAAAGGTTTAGCGTGTATGTAAATTATTCCATACGGATTTACGCATAACGCATCCTAGAGGTTCCCTTAATCAATCGAGAACATGTCCAAACATTTACTCCTATGTTTGGATTGATTTCCTTACTGCATTCACTCTCAAACTGACCGCAATAGATTGCATTATTGCAAACCAAACCAACATGGTAAATCGTACTATTTTCAAAGCTATTACTTGAACTATATGACAGTCATATAGTTATGCTTGAACACACTTTTAACTTGTGTCGTTTGTGATGTCGTATAGCAGTCGTTTTTTTAATAATTGTTACATATTTTATATTTTTAATTTATAGTTTGATTAATAATCATTAATTCTTTTTATAACAATTTGAATTATTTAAAGAAAAATAAACGGTCTGGCCTAGCTTTAGTCTAGGGGGTTTCTCCCGGCAAACGGCTTGCGTCGCTTCTTGTCTGGCGAACGATTTAGGGCGATGGTAGGATGGTGGCCAATTCCATGGTTTGCTTCTCCATGAGTCCATGGTTTACACTTCTGGACGAGTTGATGCGTGAATCGAACCTGGAGGTATGTGATTTGTACATGTGATTGGAATATCGTCTGGTCACTTCTGTGCGGCTTGGTCGTTAGAGCCTTAGAGGATGGGGATAGGGATTGGTTGGCGCAGGGCGCAGGTGACAAAGGGATGGGGTGGCTGGAAGCCTGGAACGGGTCATGTTTGGATGGATTTCGCCTCAGGGTGGAGCCGTGGAGGCGATTGGGAGTGCTTGGGTGAGATGGATTCTGGTTGGGGTCAGGTTTTGATGGATTTTGCCTAGATGTTTGGCTTTGTGTTGTTGGAGTGTTGCTGCAAAAATGCTCGATGGCTTTGTCAAATACAAGATGGATTGCTTAAAGACAGGAGAAACGGGAGATCAGAAGCATGGCTGCTAGTGGGTCCAAGAATGACAAGGAGACGAGCTTCACAGTGTCTACTCTCCATTTTTTGTTTTATCGCACCTTTTATGTTTGAGAATATATCTTGTTTCGATTTCTTTAATATAGTTTTTTCTTTTCTTTTATATAGTTCATGAATCATGACCAAACAACCAGTCACACTAGTCAAGTAGTCAATAACTTGGTAAATACGAGAAATGGTTCAGAATAGGGATGGATTGGGAAGAGACCGAGCCGGGCTTCGGGATGGGATTGGGTGGGCTACAGGCTTAAGGATTTCAGGCTCGGTTTCGGCCAAGGTTTGTACCAATACCGGGTCGGGCTGGGCCCATATAGTATCGGGTCGGGATTGGGCATTCTATTAAAAAAACAGTGCAATCGGCTGGGCCGAAAAAAATCGACCTCGATGCTTGCCCCTTATAGCCATCAGTTCGGGCAACGGGCCGGGTCTAAACAGTACTGGGCTCAGGTCGACCCGTTCCAGCCCATCCCTAGTCGAGAATAGGAGTTATATGATTGTAACTCCTAAACAGAAGCATAAATTTTCGTGTGTTCCATATTTGACCTTAATTTTTTATTGCTTTGCCCTTGTCCTTTCCTCATCGATCGTTGACGAGTATAGGATTGAAGTGGGTGCTGGGCCGTGTGGTTTGACAAGCAGCTTATGGATTAACCAGAATCGGTTAAATCTGGCTGACAACGGGTAGTGTAGTAGCAACACCGTCATATAAAGCCAAAGCTCACTGGTCGGATATCGGTGTTGGCGAAGATGGTATAGATTTGTTCTTCGTCACCTCCTTCCCTCCTTCCATCCTCCCCTCCTCATCTCTTTGGTTTCTTCCAGCGTTGTTCTATTTGGTGGGCAATTTGATTTCCATTGTTGTTCATTTATTTCCTTCATTTTGTTCTTTTTTTATTCCACTAGTATAGTACCTAGGGGTGGATTCGGTTTAAACTGCCCGGCCCGCTACTGTGTGTGCACGGAATCGGCCCGGTTTGGTGGTCCGGGACCGGGTGTAGACCCGAACCAGGGGGAACCGGGGGCGGTCTTGGTTCCGGCAAAACGTGACCCGGCCCGGCCGGGTCGGGCCCGGGTTCGGGTCACAACGGTCAATTGTTTGTATTTTTTTGTTTTGTTTTGGGCCAAAAGAGCCATAAGGTTGGGCTGGAACTACCCAAACGGCTATATAGCCGTTGGGTGGGCTAGCAAGGGGGGTCCGGGCAGTTTGGGGGGAGGGTGGGGGGAGGGGTGGGGGTGGGGTAAAAAAAACTTTGAATACTCCTAATCTTAAACATTTTTCTATATCTCTTCTCCAACTCTTCCTAAATCCTACTCTCTACTCTCTAATTATCTTCATCTTCATCTTCTCAAATTCTCTTATTCTCCAATATATTATATATCTACTTATATTATTTATCTACTTATAAATACATATATTATATTACTTATATTTCTTATGTACTTATATATTAATTATCTATTTATACACACATATATTATACTCCTTAAAACTTTGTCAACTTTCCTTTTTTTGGATGTCCCATTAACTTTGACACTTTCCTTTTTAGTAAAGAATTTATGGTTCTAGTTAATTCTCTTTCCTTTGTACAAACATCAACCACACAGTTTTTACTTTCTTAATCCATGTGCCGGTCAAACTTGGCAACGTTTTAAGGGACGGAAGTAGTATTACTTATATTTCTTATCTACTTAATCTCTACTTATTATCTTTTTTTTAGTATATTAATATTAGTTAAATTCATTCTATTACTCAAGAAATTGCCATCACCCCATTCCAACACTTTATGGATGAATCAACAACCGATGGTGGCTCTACCTATGGCGGAGATTCCGATTGATTAGTATTTCATGTTTAAATTTTTCCTTCAATTCTCAATTGTAACTTGTAAACTCGTAGTTCATATTTCAAATAAATATACGTTCATTTTTTTATATGTAGCACTTCTCAAATTAATTAATTGGTTACAACTTACAATTTATTTTGTCTAAAGCTGTTTTTAAATTAAAATTAGGTTTACAATATGTAATATGTATAAATACACATATTTTGTGACATTTGTAAATTCTAAATCACACTACTTTTCTTAGTTTCTAAGTAAAAATAGCTTTACTTAATTCATTAAATTAATTAATTAATTTTACATTATGTAATTTATTCAAACTAAAATAAACAAAAAAAATTTGAAATCAAAGGCTCAAGCCTCAAGGCCCCGAACAGGCCCGAGTCCATGACTAATAGTACTCGTGCGATGCACGAGATATAAAAATTTGAATATACTTATTTGACATGGAAGAGGAGGCCGTGGGGGCCACCAAGCCCAAAAGGTGAGCGATGGTCATGTGAGCTCAGTGTATGAAACCAACACCGAGGATTATGACTCAACTTTTGTTCCCGAGATGGGACATGAGGAGACACCATATGATGGGGGTGACTTCCATAGTGACGATGATGAAAATGATGAGAGCGATGCCCATTTTGCTCAAATGGGTGAGGTACTTGAATGGTACCTGTTGAGGTTTAATCCCGTAGATCCGAAAGCCCAACACAAACTTTGGATATATCAGGAAATGGGTTAATAATTCAGTGTATAAAAGAAATATAAAAGATGATATCAACGAATACTCAAAAGCCCACTTGTACTAAGAAATCACTTGGAAACCCATGCTTCTAGTAACTACCCCAAAAGATGATATTACACGGTAAACTACCCGAACGGTATGTCGGAATAGTAACTAATACAAGAAATCAGAGAGATAATGCTAGTCTAGGCTTCAATATGAAAATGCTAACCCTTTACAATGAAACTAATCTTTCTATTTATACTAATGGGGGGTATGAGGTACTTCATGTTGATTGGTTGCTTTATCTAGCCACTTGGAAACCCATGCTTCAATTTGCTGCCGCCTTACTTTAGCGATAAATGTCCCCTGCCACTTGTTGGCTACCCGCTGCCCAAACGGGTAGTGGACCCTGTTGGAATCATCATTGATCTGGCCCAAGTACGTTGATTAGACCGAACCTCGTTCGGTACATTCATCTGGAATCATCATTGTTCTGGCCCATTTATTGACCTGGCCCATTATTGATCTGGCCCAAGTACTTTGATTAACCCGAACCTCGTTCGGTACATATTTTCCCATGAGCCTGTTCATCTTCTGGATTATGGACCCGTCTATCGGACTGGATATCCCGGGCCTTGGATCCGGGTATTGGGCCTGTAGCCCAATATCCCAACACGAGTCCCCCACTTCCGATGTCTTGAACGGTAGTGAGTGCATTGGGAAGTAGAAGTTGCTTGCCGAATGGTGATCGGGATCCAGAGTTCGCTGGTTTCCCATGCCATGAGTAGTACCTTTCTTGCGGCTGTCGTTTGGTTTTTCTCATAATTGTCATGATTACTGATCTTTGCTTCTCCATGCGACACGTGTTATTTCAAATAGTCCTGGTGACGTGTCATTATTTGGTTGGTCCTCGATACGGCGCTTGTCAGACTATAAATTAGCTTTTATCAAATAGTTCTGGGTTTCGAATTATCAATCCTTCGTGTTTTAGCCCTGCCTTCTTTCTAACTTTCTTCAAGCCTTTCGTGTTCAGGTATTTTTCATCCCATATCTTTCTTCCTTCTTCTTCGGTTTGGTCGGTATGAGTCCTCAATCGCGTTCCTCTGATTCGGATATGGCTTCCCAAGGGGATGATCATGACGCCGCTGTTGTGGACGTCATAAATGTCCCTTTTCCCGGTGGTTCAAACGAAGCGACGACGGAGACTAGGGCGGAGGTGGAGGATTCTTCCATTGGCTCTTCTACTGATAATGATTCCGACGATACGAACTCCGGTGATGAACTCGCTTCAATGGCGGCCGGCCTCCCGGGCGACGTCCCCCGTCATAAGGTAGACTTGAGGCTAATTAGGGAAAGGAGGCAAAGATTGACCTCTCACAATAGGGCCCAAATCCCAGCCCTAATCCCTGATCCGGTTAATTTCCGTCTTCGGGTTGGGCTTCATCCGATGCGCCACCTTCCTGGGATGGTGGTGGTCCATCTAGACTCAGTAAAAGCTGGGCTTAGGTCCCCCCTACACCCTTTCTTTGTTTCCTTCCTCAATTTTTATGAGATAATACCGACCCAAGTTATGCCGAACTCTTATCGGGTGATAGCGGGCTTCATTTGTCGTTGTAAAGATGCCGATGTTACTCCGACTCTAGAGTTGTTCCATCAGTTTTTTAAGGTGGCTCCTCAACAGACACATGGTTACCTGGTTGCAACTGCCCGAACGGGTCATATTTTGTTTAAGGGTAATCCTACCTCGATCAAGGGGTGGAAAGACCGGTTCTTTCTTGACTCCGT